CCCAAAGCATAGTAAGCCTCCTGGTGATCTCGATTTTGTGAATTCTTAGAGTGTAAGTGAGGCTAAGAGTTCGTGGTGTGCTTAAAATGAAGCCGGTGTGAGTGGAAAAGTGCTTAATGGTGTCAAGGGTGGATTTGTTCAAGTCAAGATGGTGAAGGTCTCGGGTTCTAGCAACTCTTGTATGAGGAGGGTGAAATTATTGGGGTTGCCAATGACGCTTTATTCCCAAGTGGTATCAATGGTACTCATGAAAAGAGTGTGGAAATGTGTGGTAGGAAGGAAAAGTCTAATAGTGTGGATGAGTCGGTTAAGGTGAGTGAGCCTACTAGCAATGGATGGTTCTCTTGCTAAGGGAATTGTGGTTAGTAAAATAGAAAACCTGGTTCTAATGCTCCTTCAAACCCAAAAGCTTGGAAGAATCTCTTCTCTTCTGAGAAGTCAAATGTGGGGCTGGAATATTTCAAACCGGGCATGATCAAAGAAGGAACTAAAATTTGTGTTTCTCTCCGAAGGAAGTTGCTGATATGGGATTGAAACATGGAGCAATTGTCTTGTGGGTTTTTCTTGGGAAAGAAGCTACCTTATGAAGAACTTTGAGGACAAAAATTGAAGAAGTATGGCAATGTTGCGGTTATCTCTAATGGTCAAGCTGGTTACATTCTAAGTTCTCGGACGAGTTATCGAAAAAATGAGGTTATGGAGAATGGCCCGTGGTCATTGGTGGCCAATTACCTCTCTTTGAAGCAATGGGGTCCTAATATGAATTCTGCAATAATGGTGTGACTAAAGTGCCTATTTGGACCAAGCTTGATGGGATTCCTCTAGAATTTTGGACTTACAAGGTGCTTAGTATATGTTGCAAGTGCCGTGGGTGTCCCCTTCATGTGCATATATAAACAAAGCTGGAGAAAGGTTAGAATTTGCTAAGGTATGTGTTGAACTTGATTCTTCCTCGGATTTCAAAGAAGTGTTTGAGCTTGAATTGTCAAATGGGGAGGTGGTTGATATTAGAGTTGAATACGCTTGGAAACCTATTGTGTGCTTGGTGCAAAAGCTTCGGTCATGATCAAAAGCAATGCTTGTATGCTCCTAAAGCTACTCCCTTGACTGATGTTGTTAAGAAGACCCCTATTTCATAAGAATGGAAACAAGTCTCCTCCTAAAAGAAAGTTGTTGAGAAAGAAGTGAGGGAGGAAGGATTTAGTCCCTTACAAAAGCAGCCTTTAGTAAATCAAGGTAAAGAGGTGAGTATCTCTAACCCCTACATGAACAATTTGTGGTCTTACCATAGAGGGTATTGATCCTAGTAATGTGGGTGGCAAGGAGATTTTTTGTCGGTAATAGTGGTGATGATGAAGGTGGAATGAGTGGCGTAAAAGTGGACTATCTTGAGAAAGGTCGTGTGAGGTGATTTTGGGGTACAAATGAGGTCGAGGAAGTGAGGGAGAGGATAAGGGTTCTGATACGTTTAAAGTCCTAAAACACTTGTAAACATGAGTGGACAAGGAATTACAAGTCCTAAAACACTGCTAATTCAGTTGAATCAAAGAGTTTTATTTCAGTCCTAAAACACTTGGATTGTGGAGTGTGGAAAGCATTGGAGGAGATTCGGCCCAAGCAAGTTTCAAGGGGAGAGAGAGCCCAAGCACTTTGGCCCAAACCATTCCAAGTCCAAGCCCAACAAAGGAAGCTCAAGTCCACAAGAGAGAAGCCCAAGTGTTGAAGTGAGCCCATTCGGCCCAATCTCATTCCAAATGGGAAAGTCCACTGAACCTATTGGATCCATTTGCAAGATCTTCAAGGCCCAATCTTACACCCTTATTAGAGACTTGATTAGGCATTGATCAAGTTTGGGCTAATAAAGTGAGTTTTTTCAACTAATGGGGTGGTTAAAGACATGAACCCTAGAATTAAAGAATCATGTCCCTTTGCATTAAATGGGTATGGCTTATTTTTGAATGGAAGGTTTATAATTTTTGTGTAATATTTATTAATTTTCATTTTCCTTATATTGTATCTGTTGATTACTCTTTTAACCTTGTAATTGCCTATATAAAGGCAACTATTTTCTCCTGTAAATTTAGTTCATGAAAATATCAAAAACTTGGTTTAACTATTGAGAGAACTTTGTGTTCTTATTGAAATTTCTTATCCAGTCTGGCAAGGAGATTTGATGGTGAATCGATTCAAGTTGGTGAGAATTCCTTTATGCTTGAAGTGTTCATTCTTGTCTTAACCTAAAATTGCAAGTAAGTGTGACATTGTCTCCATTTGTGTTGGCCGAATTTAAGCTTGAGTTTAGGGCATATTTTTGTGTTGTTGTTGTTTCAAATTGGTTGGAATTGGATCAGTTCTCCATCTACTTTTGTCACCAAGATAAATCCTTCTTAGGATAGTGATCTTGACATTAGCTCACCTATAGTTACTTCCTTTGGAAACTTGGGGAGTGTTGTGAGAAAGATGGCAAGGAGAGAGGCATGGTAGCTTTTACTAGAAGTCAAAAGAAGAGATTGGCTAAAAGGAGAAATTACCTAAAGCATTAGCCATGATTAAGTTTGCCGCGTGGAAATAAGGGTCTTAATTCCCCTATTAAACAAAAGGAAGTCAGATTTTTTATTAGTAGTAAGAACTTGTGTTTATGTGCCATTTTAGAAACCAGAGTTAGGGAAAGCAATAGGGATAGAATTAGGAGTTGGTGATTAATAAATGGACAGTGGTTGACAACTATCTTTTTGTGATAAGAGGTAGAATCTGGTTAGGTGGAATGAGGAGGATGTGAGTGTGCAAGTCCTTCAAGGCCAGCTCGGCTCAAACTTTTCATTGTAATGTTACGGTTCTCAAATCAATAAAAGTTTTTGTGTTCGGTTATCTTGGGTCTAATGTGTGGTTGAGCAGAAATTGTTATGGGAAGATCTTTGTTGTTTGCAAGAGGGCGCGGACACAATCCACGGCCTATTATGGGAGACTTTAACTAAATTAGAGGGATGAATGAGAAATTGGGGGGTTCTATCAATGGAAACCACATTGGGGGGATTAATGAGATGTGTAACATGGCTGAGTTAAGGATCTTTGTCCATTGGAGCTTTCTTTACTTGGAACAATAAGGGTGACACTAATGGGAAAATGTGGTGCAAACTTGATAGGATGTTGTTCAATGAGAGATAGAATTTGTGTTTCCCTTCTTCTTATGTTGTATTTACCACCCCCAGTATTTTGATCATAGCCCGATGGTTGTGGATTGTGGGGTTCCTAATCAAGTTATGAAATCGCCGTTTAAGTTCTTTAATTGTTTTGGCCGAAAGTGACAAGTTTCTTTCTTTAGTGGAGAATGCTTGGAAGTTGGAGTGATTGGCAACCGATGTTCAGGAATCTGTTTAGCGTCCGAGAAGCTTCTTGCGGATCCACTTAATTATTCTTTTACCACTGAAGAAAAAGAGAAAGCAGCAACTTATCAAAGTTGTTCAATAAAATCATATCAAAATGCCATGTTTAATGTTGTCCCATTTGGGGAAGACAAAATTCCAAGCAGAAATGCTAATAGAAGCTAAACTAAAACATGGCGAAGTCACATGCTTTTCTGAGAGAAAGAGGATCAATATAGGCTATCAATCTTTTGATTAATTAATGTGGCTATGGAGTTTCTTTCTCTGTTGAGATTTTGTGTTCTATAATTTGTACTTGAAATTTAGGAGCTTGAAGATCAATCATTCTAAGGCAACATAGATGCAGGGATAAAATCACTTAACCACTATAATACTACCTAAATTCCTATTCTTTTTTATTGAGCTGTCCAATAAAAATTCCTGATATACATAACACGGAACAACATCTCAACAGCCTAACAACTTTAACTAATAAATAATGAACTCAAAAGCTTCCCAATTTGTTATCTCCGACTACCAATTCATAACATAATTCTTGTCCAACAGGTTAACCACATTGTTTGTTAGCAACAAAACTCTCACAACCCAAAACACAAACACGTTATACGCATATAAATTCAAACACGCATACACATTTCTTAAAATAAAAGTCCTGTCCGGGCTTTGCCGTTGCTCCATGCTTTCACTTCAAACTTCATGATGCTTAGCTTTAGCTTGAAGTTTTTGCACACAATACTCACAATACTCAGCACTAGCACAGATATATAAAATCAAATCTATCACAAATAAACCCAAAGCTAACTTGATAACCACTTTTTACACAATAATTAATCAGTACACACATCAGAGAATATAAGGATATAAAGTTCATTTATGGTTAAATAAAATAAAAATAAAATTAAAAGAAAGAAATGGAAATTACTTTAAGAAATTGGAGTGCTTTAGTGTCTTCTTCTAAATTCCAAGGATCACACTTCACCAAACAAATTAAAAGCAGAAAAAGCTAAAGTTTTTGCCTTGATCTGAAGTGAGTGGACAGAGAGCAAGAGCAGACGAAGATCGTGAGAAGGGAAGAAAGAAAATGAAATTTTTTGCCCATTTTTATACGTGACAGGTAAATTGCAAACCCCCCCACTCTTTAATAATATTTCATTTCAGTCCCGATTCTCGGTTCCGGTTCTGGTTCTTGACTGTAGAAATCGAAACTGGAACCATACAGTGTCGGTTCCAGATTTTTCAAACTAAAATCTACCCGTTGACGATCGGTTCTGGGTAAGAACCAGAACCAAACCCCGGGTACCCAACGGTTCCGGTTCCGAACGGTTCTTTTGAATACCCCTACCCGCAACGCATTGTCTCTTAAGTGATAGTATCCCTTATAACTTTTAATAATGAAAAAGAGAAGAGAATTTATGGCATGAAAGTGATTTTAGAAACCATTTTTTGTTTTTTTAATTTCATATTTCTCAATTTGTTTGAAAATTACTAATTCATATGAATAACACATACAAAGAATCATACAAAGAGACAACCTCTATCTTTAAAATCTCTCTCTCTCTTTTTCCTTCTTTTAAGGGTAGGGATTATCTCTTTATATGACTTTTTGTATGTCTCCTTATAAGGCTAGTGTTACGCATTTCAGATACTAAATTCTACTACTCTTGTCTCCTGAGATTTCTATTGCCTCGTCTCTCTTTTCTAAATTTTTTCATTTGGTTAAATCAAATTTTAAACAAGTTCATATAAATTAATAGTCCATCCCAAACCAAAATTACAAACTTTCTTTAATATTTGACTTAAAACTGACTAGATTCCCAAGATTCTTCAATTGATAAAACCAAAACTCCTTTTTTGTTTTCTGAAGATGAATCCGAACTTGAACATGTTACAACTTCAACGCTTGTATTTGAACGCCAAAACCTTCTCTGTTAAATCTCCAAACCATAACATTCCAGTCTTCCCTCGAAATCTCTCATACTCTTCTTCTTCAGGTCAGGGCTTTTTTTTTTTTTTTTAAATTTATATATTTGTTTTCTTAGTAGTAATTTTAATGATATTGCTCTTATGATTGAATTTATAGGATTCCCAGTTCGTTTTGACTCGATTTCTGAGTGTAAGTGCTCTTTTATTTATTTATTTTTTCTCCTTTAAACTTCAGTTTAGTATCATTTTTATTTATATTGGCTTCGATGTGGGTGTATTTTATTTTTCTTTTATTTTTTTATTGTTTTTGAAGTAAAAATTAGGAGCTCAAGACATTTGGTGATCAAATCTTTGTCAGAGAATTTTTCGGGTTCTTTTGATCAAAATTCAGATCAGAATTATGTTACTGGACCTAATAAGGTATTTTGATTTATAATTTTACAATACTTTATGATTTTACAATATTTATAATTTGGTGCTCTAGTGGATAACTTTCAATCAACTTACATAATCAGTTTTTTTATTAACATTATCGGTTAATTGAAGAAATGATGCACACAGTTTTTCTTAAGGTTTAGGGTTTAGAGTTGTATATAAAGGAGCGGAATATTACGTCAATTCCAGTTGAGTCTTAAACATTTAATTTTTCTAAATACTGAATCTTTCGAGTGTTTACTGGTCGCTTGAACTGTTTCTTTTTATACTTTGAATTTTATACTGTATTATGATTCATATGTGTAATTAAAAGAGTAATTTTTAGGCCTATACTGATAGCAGCTTCTGCGTTCCTCGTTTTGTGTGGTTAAGCAGGAGAATAATTTTGTTAATATATTGAAGCAATCAAATACCCTTTTGCCCCATGTAGTCATTGCTAGCACAGTGTTGGCTCTTGTCTTTCCACCTTCTTTCATGTGGTTTACAAGCAGGTATGTGAATGCTAAATGCCTTGTTTAAAAACTCTGTGGTGATACATTTATCTGCTTTGACAAGCAACATGAAAGGAAGAATACTTTGAGAGTGCAATTTATTTTCTGTGCAATTCTAAGAGATCAATGGTAACGAGAAGGAAAAGCAGGTGTGACCTGTTTTATACTGGACCATAAAGCATCCATTTTAAATAAATTATGGGAATCTGTTAGGTGACATCAATTGTTGCTAAGAAAATGATCTCCAGACAAGGTGAGTGAGGAAGATTGTGGCTAAATTTGAAACGACTGAAACAAAAAACTTTATATCTGTTTTAAGTAATAATAAATTATATGGGGAGTGGGAAACTGTTTCAGTTCTTAACCTTGATTGGGTCCTCGGTCCTAGTTTTTAGTGCAAGTATCTGACCTGTTTCTTTGACAAAAAAAAAAAAAAAAAAAATTCTGTTTGTTCAGAATCTTCAGATTGCATTTTTCCTTGGAGCTGCCTTCTTTTGCTCTCCATCAATTTTACTATTTCATTAATACTTGTTAGAATTGATGTGCTTTGAGGGAAGAATCATCAATAAGAGGAAAGAGTAGGTGTTGTCTGATTTCTGACACTTGATTTTGTTTCTTTGTCTTGAGGTGCAAAGTGGATACCTGTTTTGTCCTGATGAGATATTTCCTATTGATTTCTTTTAAAATCCAAATGAGGAGAAAGCTAGTCCTGTGGTGCAACGAGGGTTGTTTTAAAATTGTTTGGAAATGCAACAAATTGATGGAGTAGCATTTTTTACAAAACACTCCTGTGAATCAGTTTACGTGCTTCCATTCTGATATGTAATATTTGCTACTTGAGAAACTTTTTTGCAACTTCTGAAGATTCAAATTCATTTTTTCTTATCACTGATTCACTGATTTAGGACATTGAAACTCAATGCTCTGATGACAAATTTCATATGAAAGTAATTTGCTACATGATGAAGTAAATTCTTCAAGGAATATTATGCTTATGATTCTATTATTAATCTATTTGTAGGTACTATGCTCCAGCATTAGGGTTTCTGATGTTTGCAGTTGGGGTTAATTCCAGCGAAAAGGAATTTCTTGAAGCCTTCAAGAGACCAGCAGCTATTTTTGCAGGTTATGTTGGCCAGTTTGTGGTGAAGCCTATTCTAGGATATATTTTTGGCATAATTTCAGTAACAGTTTTTGGACTTCCTACTTCCATAGGTGAGGTTCTGTTTTGTCTAACCTTCAAAAAGAGTTGACAGTGTAGTGTGAAGGCATAATGCAAATTCATGAATCAGGTGCGGGGATTATGTTGGTTTCTTGTGTTAGTGGTGCTCAGCTCTCCAATTATGCTACTTTTCTGACAGACCCTCCTCTTGCCCCTCTAAGCATTGTTATGACATCATTGTCTACTGCTACTGCGGTTGTTGTTACACCACTCTTATCACTCTTGCTTATTGGGAAGAGATTGCCTGTTGATGTTAAAGGAATGGTTTCCAGCATTTTGCAGATTGTAGTTGCACCCATTGTTGGAGGTTTGCTTTTGAATCGGTGAGATATTAACCGAAGGTAAAATTGCTTGAAGTCAGAATTTATTTGAGAGGTCCTCACCTGTCTCATATATCTGTGCCTACAGGTTCTTTCCCCGCTTTTCTAATGCTATCCGTCCATTCTTGCCTCCACTGTCAGTGCTTGTGACAGCTTGCTGTGTTGGAGCACCACTTGCCATTAACATGGAGTCCGTTATGTCCCCTTTTGGTGTAACTATTTTGTCGCTCATAATTGCATTCCACTTGTCAGCATTTGTGGCAGGATATATTCTTACTGGCTTTACCTTCCGTAAGGCACATGATGTGAAAGCGCTGCAAAGAACACTATCGTTTGAGACAGGTATGATGTTTTGAAATTATAAAAGACTATAGTCTTCTACCTGACGTTTTTCCTTTTCCAGGAATGCAGAGCAGTCTCCTAGCTCTTGCACTTGCTAATAGGTTCTTCCAAGATCCACTTGTGAGTGTGCCGCCAGCAATCTCTGTAAGTCAATGACTTTTTGTTTGAACTAGTTCTTGCCGTTTGAGTTGTGAATAGAAAATCTGGTGCTAATCATGTCTTTTTTATTTTTCATATGCGAAAAATCTTTGTACTTGGTACAAGACTATTATAACAACCTACAAATAACACCACAGATTACCTTTTTATAGCTTAAATGGTTAAGTCTATCCCAAAGTTTCCCATTTCTTTTTTCATACTGATTGACTGTGTTATTGTGCTCTGGATATTCTATTCAATACCACAAATGAATTGGATGAGGTTCAGCTTTCTGGGAAGGGCATGAGAGTTATCATACTCTTTGACCTTTGCCTGGAAGTTGGGATTTAGAATATAGAAATTTATTGATTTAATTGTTGCTTGAGTTGTGCAACACTTCATTATATAGATTTATGCACCTTTGCTTATAAAAGTCGATCAACAAGGAGAGGTTGCTTCATTAGAGATGTGGTTTAACTGTATGATGTGGTAAAAGAAGTAGCTGCATGATGTTATATTTGACAGATTTTCTTTATTTGTCTATAAATTGGCTGGCTTTAGCATCTCACATATGAATTTGATAAGTCCCGTTTTCTTTATGAGATGTACAGACTGTAATCATGTCGTTGATGGGGTTCTCTCTTGTCATGCTTTGGGCTAAGAAAAAAGAATAGCAAGCAATTCAGAGGTCTGCAAGTGTTGATGTATCGAAAATTTGTACTCCATTACACTTTGGAGCATAGGCTGTCTGGTGCCGCAGCTATTGAAAGGCTCTTAAAGATGAAGTCATTGGAGGCGCTCTTTGATCATTGAAAGAATTGAACACGTTCATCATACATCACTTTAGATCCTGATCATAAGTTAACAATTTATTTTATTTTAGAAAAGACAAAATGTGTTGGGAGAGAGTCAGGAGTAAACAATTCTGTGACTTCTCATGTATAAGTGAGCTGAAGGAAGATGCATTTATTTGGGTTGATATTGCATGTGATTGTCATAAAGTTTATATTTAATCTGATGATTGAAATTATCTCCGCTGCTTTAATTTTTAAGAGTAAGTTTTCAGTTCTAATGAATTTGACTAAATAGGAGTGGAAAAAAAAAATCGATAACCGAACCGAAAAACTGGTCTGAAAATTTCGGTTTTTTTTCCGGATTTGGTTCAGTTTCGTTCGGGATAATGGATAATTTCAGTTTTTCAAAAAATACAAACCGGTTGATCGAAGCGGAACTAAACCTAAGTCTAACTCTCTTCCACTAGTGCAGCCGTCCAGGACGGTATATTTTCATCTCTCTCAAACCTCTCTGTCTTTTGCGGCGACAACAGCACTCAAATTTTACAACTCTCTGTCAGTCTCCATCTCTTTTTGACCTTATGTAGTTTGAATCAAGTTCTTTCTTCATTTTCCTAGATTTTCCTTCTTTTTGTTCCTTTTTAAATATATATAACTCCAACTCCAAGCCTCTGTTATTTTTTTTTTTGATCAATCAATCTATAAATGGCAGATGTTATTCGGGTATCTTCATTTCAGTCGCTTCGTTTTTCGTCTTCTTTGGTTCTGGGTTCCTTCGCCTCCACGTTGAATTCCCTCGCACGTATTCAGATTATAGATAAGAAAAATTATCCTCTTGTTTATTCTTCTGCTGCTGGTTTTTCTCGCCTTTCTTTCACACCCAGGAAGCACCTTCTCTCTTTCAATGTCATACCACTTGCCGTTTTAATATAATGTTTGCTTATTATCTTTCTTTCCTTTTTGTAATTCATTAAGTCTTTGAAATTTTGAATACCCAGGCCCATTGGAATAAACATGTTTAAAAAGAAATTGGGTCAAAATGGAGGGTTTGATTGAATTGGGCCAAACTAGTCTAACCCATTTGAATGACCGGTTTAAAATTGGTTAACCGATTAATTGATTTTTCGGTTTGATTAGAAACTGACTCAAGTAGAAAACCGGTTCGGTTTCGATTTAGTTTTCCACTTGAACCGAAATCCGATTCGGTTATGGGTAGGGTGAACCGATTCGGTTAACCGATTTTTTTCATGCCTATGACTAACTACATAAATAATACGGACACCCCAAACTCAGTAATTTCACGTATATCATACAAAATGATTAAATTTCTTTATTTATCTAATAAGGTTTATAAAATTTACTATTCACCCCTAAAAAAATTTGAAACTTTACTTATTCATCCCCAATAAAATTTCATCAGATTGTTTCATTTCACATGTAAAGCCTAAATGCCTAATTACCCAATAAAGAGCAAATAAACGTTTCCCATGCACAGGAAATTTAAAACTATTTCGAGCAATCATCAATCTCCCAAAAAATCAACTTTTTCCCGCTTCTTCCCAAACCTTCCCAAAGCCATAGTAAGCCTCCAGGTGATCTCGATTTTGTGAATTCTTAGAGTGTAAGTGAGGCTAAGAGTTCTTGTGGTGTGCTTAAAATGAAGCCGGTTGTGAGTGGAAAAGTGCTTAATGTTGTCAAGGGTGGATTTGTTCAAGTCAAGATGGTGAAGGTCTCGGGTTCTAGCAACTCTTTGTATGAGGAGGGTGAAATTATTTGGGTTGCCAAAGACGCTTTATTCCCAAGTGGTATCAATGGTACTCATGAAAACAGAGTGGAAATGTGTGGTAAGAAGGAAAAGTCTAATACTGTGGATGAGTCGGTTAAGGTGAGTGAGCCTACTAGCAATGGATGGTTCTCTTGCTAAGGGAATTGTGGTTAGTAAAATAGAAAACCTGGTTACTAATCCTCCTTCAAACCCAAAAGCTTGGAAGAATCTCTTCTCTTCTGAGAAGTCAAATGTGGGGCTGGAATATTTCAAACCGGGCATGATCAAAGAAGGAACTAAAATTTGTGTTTCTCCTCCGAAGGAAGTTGCTGATATGGGATTTGAAACATGGAGCAATTGTCTTGTGGGTTTTTTCTTGGGAAAGAAGCTACCTTATGAAGAACTTTGAGGACAAAAATTGGAAGAAGTATGGCAATGTTGCGGTTATCTCTAATGGTCAAGCTGGTTACATTCTTAAGTTCTCGGACGAGTTATCGAAAAATGAGGTTATGGAGAATGGCCCGTGGTTCATTGGTGGCCAATTACCTCTCTTTTTGAAGCAATGGGGTCCTAATATGAATTCCTGCAATAATGGTGTGACTAAAGTGCCTATTTGGACCAAGCTTGATGGGATTCCTCTAGAATTTTGGACTTACAAGGTGCTTAGTTATGTTGCAAGTGCCGTGGGTGTACCCTTCCATGTGCATACTATAACCAAAGCTGGAGAAAGGTTAGAATTTGCTAAGGTATGTGTTGAACTTGATTCTTCCTCGGATTTCAAAGAAGTGTTTAGCTTGAATTGTCAAATGGGGAGGTGGTTGATATTAGAGTTGAATACGCTTGGAAACTATTGTGTGTGCTTGGTCAAAAGCTTCGGTCATGATCAAAAGCAATGCTGTATGCTCCTAAAGCTACTCCCTTGACTGATGGTTAAGAAGACCTATTTCATAAGAATGGAACAAGCTCTCCCTAAAAGAAAGTGTTGAGAAAGAAGTGAGGGAGGAAGGATTTAGTCCTACAAAAGCAGCCTTTAGTAAATCAAGGGAAAGAGGTGAGGATCTCTAACCCTACATGAACCAATTGTGGCTCTTACCATAGAGGGTATTGATCCTAGTAATGGGTGGCAAGGAGATTTTTGTCGGTAATAGTGGTGATGATGAAGGTGGAATGAGTGGCGTAAAAGTGGGATATCTTGAGAAAAGTCGGGTGAGGTGATTTTGGTACAAATGAGGTCGAGGAAGTTGAGGGAGAGGATAAGGGTTCTTGATACGTTTACAAGTCCTAAAACACTTGTAAACATGAGTGGACAAGGAATTACAAGTCCTAAAACACTTGCTAATTCAGTTGAATCAAAGAGTTTTATTTCAGTCCTAAAACACTTGGATGTGGAGTGTGGAAAGCATTGGAGGAGTTCGGCCCAAGCAAGTTCCAAGGGGAGAGAGAGCCCAAGCACTTTGGCCCAAACCATTCCAAGTCCAAGCCCAACAAAGGAAGCTCAAGTCCACCAAGAGAGAAGCCCAAGTGTTGAAGTGAGCCCATTCGGCCAAATCTCATTCCAAATGGGAAAGTCCACTTGAACCCTTATTGGATCCATTTGCAAGATCTTCAAGGCCCCATCTTACACCCTTATTAGTAGACTTGATTAGGATCATTGATCAAGTTTGGGCTAATAAAGTGAGTTTTTCAACTAATGGGGTGGTTAAAGACATGAACCCTAGAATTAAAGAATCATGTCCTTTTGCATTAAAGGGTATGGCCTTATTTTGAATGGAAGGTTTATAATTTTGTGTAATATTTATTAATTTTCATTTCCATTATTGTATCTGTTGATTACTCTTTTAACCTTGTAATTGCTATATAAAGGCAACTATTTTCTCCTGTAAATTTAGTTCATGAAAATATCAAAAACTTGGTTTAACTATTGAGAGAACTTTGGGTCTTATTGAAATTTCTTTATCCAAGTCTTGGCAAGGAGATTTGATGGTGAATCGATTCAAGTTGGTGGGAGAATTCCTTTATGCTTGAAGTGTTCATTCTGTCTTAACCTAAAATTGCAAGTAAGTGTGACATTGTCTCCATTTGTGTTGGCCGAATTTAAGCTTGAGTTTAGGGCATATTTTTGTGTTGTTTGTTGTTTCAAATTGGTTGGAATTGGATCAGTTCTCATCTACTTTTGTCACCAAGATAAATCCTTCTTAGGATAGTGATCTTGACATTAGCTCACCTATAGTTACTTCCTTTGGAAACTTGGGGAGTGTTTGAGAAAGATGGCAAGGAGAAGGGCTGGTAGCTTTTACTAGAAGTCAAAAGAAGAGATTGGCTAAAAAGGAGAAATCCTACCTAAGCATTAGCCATGATTAAGTTTGCCCGCGTGGAATATTAAGGGTCTTAATTCCCTATTAAACAAAAGGAAGTCAGATTTTTTATTAGTAGTAAGAACTTGTGTTTATGTGCCATTTTAGAAACCAGAGTTAGGGAAAGCAATAGGGATAGAAAGGAGTTTGGTATTAATAAATGGACAGTGGTTGACAACTATTCTTTTTGTGATAAGAGGTAGAATCTGGTTAGGTTGGAATGAGGAGGATGTGAGTGTGCAAGTCTTCAAGGCTCAGCTCGGCTCAAACTTTTCCTTGTAATGTTACGGTTCTCAAATCCAATAAAAGTTTTTTGTGTTCGGTTATCTATGGGTTAATAGTGTGGTTGAGCAGAAATTGTTATGGGAAGATCTTGTGTTGTTTGCAAGAGGGCGCGGACACAATCCACGGCCTTTATGGGAGACTTTAACTACATTAGAGGGATGAATGAGAAATTGGGGGGGTTCTACAATGGAAACCACATTGGGGGGATCTTAATGAGATGTGTAACATGGCTGAGTTAAAGGATCTTGCTCCATTGGAGCTTTCTTACTTGGAACAATAAGGGTGACACTAATGGGAAAATGTGGTGCAAACTTGATAGGATGTTGTTCAATGAGAGATAGAATTTGTGTTTCCCTTCTTCTTTATGTTGTATTACCACCCCCAGTATTTTGATCATAGCCCGATGGTTGTGGATTGTGGGGTTCCTAATCAAGTTATGAAATCGCCGTTTAAGTTCTTTAATTGTGGGCCGAAAGTGACAAGTTTCTTCTTTAGTGGAGAATGCTTGGAAGTTGGAAGTGATTGGCAACCGATGTTCAGGATGATCTGTTTAGCGTCCAAGAGAAGCTTCTGTGGGATCCACTTAATTATTCTTTTACCATGAAGAAAAGAGAAAGCAGCAAACTTATTCAAGTTGTCAAGGACTGAAGAGTCTCTTGCCAAGGAAAAGGCTAGAGTTAAATGGCTCAAGGGGGGGGATTCTAATACTTCTTACTTCATGAATCCATAAATGGGCACCAAAACCATAACAAGATTGTCTCCATTGAAGATGCATCGGGTAATGCATGTGATATGGGCTTATTAAAGAGAGTTGTGGGATACTATTGTTTAT